ACATTCCAGGTGAGCTTATTTCTTTCCTATCAGTTTGCCCACATGTTTAACAGAACCTATTTCTGCCATTTAATGTCATTAAATGGTAGGAGCTTTATTTCTTTTGAAATTTGTTACAAAAGAAAACTTTAGATTCATCACCAGAACTACAAAAAGTTTTATCGGTTTGCATAGTATATTCATGCCCTAGGTTTAAATGATAATTCTGTGTTCCTGAAGCAAAAAATTAAGATTAACTTTTCTATTATGCTTTGCTACAATTGCTTACTCCACATATTGATAATCATCCACCTCCAAGTCCATGGCCTAACTTCAATTTCTCCGAGCAATAGCAGCTGATACTGCTTAAATGGCTTGAGAAGTTCATAAGCAATTGTTCAAATACATAATTTCTTGAGCTAAATCTAAATTGTCTAGATGGACATGACAATTTCAAAACTCTCCTGCCGTTTAACCATGTCTTAAGACTTGAAGTGATTCCTGAGTTTAGTGACCTGTTTCTTAACATTTTTAGATTTTTTCTCTTTAGGATCTCAACAAAATTTCTTCTGCCTCTTGAAGACGAAAATGAATAACTAGATTCATCTTCGGACTCCGTACTAGTCTCTGATTCTGTATTTCAACTACATTGTGCTAATGTTTTTTTTCTTTGCCTTTCTCTGCCAAATTTGTCATTTTTGCGTAAAGAATCAATGTTCATAGCTTTCGGATTCGAAGACTGTCAAAGGCAGCTGCAATGCGAGTCTTTCTTACCAGTACTGATCTCTTTATTCACTTTATCCTTGGAAATGGACGTTGAACCCAGGGATCTATTGTTACATGTATTTGCGCCTAAACTTTCGATTTCCACTCGTGAATTGAGAATGGGTGGGGAGAGTATTTCTGCCTCTGGAGAAAAAATGCTTCTCTTTCCAAAATCTGCTTTCTCAAATGTTAACTATCTCTACTCCTCTAAAGCGTCTTGCTGCTCGTCTAACTGATTAAAACGCTGCTACATCACATTTTTCTCCAAATTTACGGGTTTTCCTGTTTGTTAACTAGATGACGATGACTTGGTATATTCAATCGTCTGACTTATCCGCATTGGAGTTGGACAATATTTTCTCATTGTTCGTTTTCGTCTTTTTAGGTTTAGCGCCCAACTCATTGTCTTCAATTTTAGGTTCATTTTCAACCAAACACCTTCACTCCTTCCTCATCTGACATCTTATAATCTATTTTCTCCTGGTTTTTTACCCGAAATTCTTATGGAATTCATTCGGCTGGAAATTCCCAATTCCGAGGAGTTCCTTCCGTTCACACAATACCACAGTACTACATTTAAAGCAGTTCCTTTCTCTTAAAGATTAATTAAAAATCAACGATTTTTGACGAATTACAGTTTAAAACCATCAAAACGATTTTAACGAATGAACAAGAACAACCTAAAGAAAAGATGTCTGACAAAAAATGTGCAGATATACGCCACGCAATGTTGAATATTTAAAGAGCGGCGTAGCGTAGAATACAAAAATTCAATGAACCATAACAGTTAACCCAGCTAAATACAAATGACGTCACCAACACTATAATTATTAATTTTCTATGAAAGAAAAATGCCTATAAATTATATGATTTTTATTTAAGTAAATGACTTTGTTTACATTTTGCTACCTTTTGTGACAAATCATTCATATTTAGTGGGTTATTTTCTTCAGTGACAAGCATCTAACATGCCCTCAGAACCATTATTTAAATGTTATAAAATTAAACATTTGCCATTTTTAAGAAGTAAAATCTTATTCATTTTTGAAGCATAATGTGCTTCTAAATCAAATTGTAAGAGAAGATGTGTTGTTTTAAAGGGCCAGCCAAACGCTGGTTCACGAAATTGGCCATTGAGCTACTTTATGGAAACTATTACAGGAAACCAAAGAGAAAAATCTTTTGAGAAATTAAAGTAAAAAAGAATCATTTCGGAGCGTGATGTGTCTTTCATATAATGAAGGTATATAACAAAACGTTACTGTCGTTATGGTAACAAACATTATTAGATAATGAGAACAACAAAATATACAAATGTATACAACCATAGACTTTACTTACATTACAAACGGTTTATATATAAAACGATAAACTTCATAATGTTAATGGAAGAATTGGAACTATCAGTTGTAAACAATTTAGAAGAAAGAGAATGGAAGAGATTATACAATAAATGCAAATCCTAACTAGCAAACGATTTAAGACAAAGTGATACATAATCATGTTAAAATGTCAAACTTCCACCTAATATACTTTTTATGATCTTCAATAAAATCTAATATGCAGCAGATTAACGCGAATATGAAAACTTATATTATAGCCTTTAAATTGGGTATCAATATCCCTGCAATGTATATCAAATAAACATGTTCTCAATGATATTTAATTGTTTTATAATTATTAATTGTTTTAATTATTAATTGTTATAATTATCCAGGAACTCATTTAACCTCAAACTGATCTATACATTTTTATGTTATGAAACGTAAATGTTGTTAACCGGTAAAATACCATTCTAGGACAAATAACAAAATGTTGTATTCTTGGAATGTGTAACAATGTAAAATTATACACATAATGTATATTATGACCTCTAACATTGAACATCCACATTTTCTTTCACACATTCATTGCCATAAGTTGTGCAAAACGAAGAAAATTTAGAAGTGCCATTCAGATATTCTATATATAGATTTTGCAACGTGCTTTTTGTGACTTGATCTTGACAAGATGGTGTAAACACGTAGCCAGCGTATTCTGGGTGATAGAACAAGCCCTCGTTCTCAGAGTCGACAGGAACTGTAGAAAACATAGGAAAGGAACATATCATGAAATATGGGTTGGAATGTAAAAAATAATACTGAAATTTCCTAAGAATAATTTACGATAACACTAATTACACTTTTATGTTTTATATATACATGGCAAGTTGATGTGTCTGCAATTGAGAGATTTGTCTGGGTGTACATTAATACCAATATGATTTATGTTGATCATTCTGTAATACAAGCTTTAAATATAAGCTTTATATTCTAACAGTGATTGTTGCCTACATTTATATCTAAATTTCTTCTTTTTAAAAGAGAGTGTACATTGGTATAATTGAAAAACTTTTTGATGAATCTGCATTTAAATCTATGACATATTGACAGACATTTATGGTTTGATCATTCTGTAATATAAGCTTTATATTCCAACAGTGATTGTTGCCTACGTCTAAAATTGTTTTCTTCTTTATCAAAGAGAGTGTAAATTGGTGCAAATGAAAATCATTTTTTTTTTACATTCAAATCTATGACATATTGACAGAAATTTATTTTAGGGTAGAACAATTATAAAGAATCGCATCCCAAATCAGAACATACCTTGGCAGTCTGGTACAGGACTGGCGGCGATCCAATTACCAGAGGCGCCACACACATACCACATGCTATAGCTGAAGGATGGACCAATCGTGAAGTTTCTGCTGGCACATGATCATACAGAATCTGCCATAGTCCGTTTTGCCACCCGTTACATAACAGTGCCCCGTTAATAGGAACATTTAAAGGACTACATGGTGTTGCTAAAACATATAAAAACAAGTATGGAAGAACATAAAATATATTCAGCAAGACAGACTATAAATACTTCTTTACATTACTAGTGGGTTGAAAACTCATTAACTGCAGTTTCAAATGATTTCTGTAATAATATTTGAATAAGATTCAAAAACAAAGATGGAAATCCCAAGCTAAATATAGAATTATTTTTGCTAAGTCGCAGTCAATATTTCTTTAATATCTAATTGATACTTTTTATTTATTATATAGATATTTTTTATCTAGATTAATGTCATCTGATTCGAAGGCGACATTTCTACAATGTCTCGTTTAAATGTATAAGCAATTAAAGATTACCAACAACAAAATTTTAATAAAGTTAGCAATGCAGAAATAAATTCTCGAGTGCAAGGAAATTGCTTTTCCTATACGTATTGCTTAATTTTTCATATTTTCATTTTTTTTTATTATTTTTTATTTTATTTTAGTTTTGTATATTTTGCTTCATTCTTATTTAAATCGTGCGCGAGTTTTATTTAAACATGGTCCGCAACACCTCACCAGATAGATTTCCCTTTTGCATCCCTATGAAGGTGCATTTAACAAGACACCATTCTAAACAGTCCTAGTTAGCCCCCTTGTTGCTTTGAAGCTATCGAAGAAAGAACTAGTGTTGCCAATAATACTGTATAGTAATGCCCAGCCTGTTTATATAACAAGTACTTACGTCTAACTTTGATCTTAAACGAACACTCGGTTCTTAGACCGTTGGAAATTTTTGTGGCAACGTATTGTACCGTAAAATCACCCCATGGAAAGGTGAACTCTGGAGTTGGATAGTTGGACACAATATCTATGGCAGACCCTCTACTATCAGAGAACTGGGTTCAGTCCAGCTGTATTCAATAGTTTGCTCTGTGGCATTGACATGAATATCTTCATGACATCCGGTCACCATTGGGGGCTCTATATCTGTAAATTGAATTATGATTAACGTCAGAAAGTTTCTCATTAGTGCCACGAATCGTTTGTTGAAACACGGCATATTCCATCAATTTTTGTGACTCGTTAAATAACATTACATGTATATGTATCGATACAATCAAGAATACACCTAGTCTCGTTTTCAGTAAATGGTGAAAGGGTTGGATATTTACGAAAATGGCGGAAAATGCAAATATTACTGGTGGATTGAAAGCTTAAAAGTTTGAACATTTTGGATACTACAATCATGTTGTTAAAGTTTAAATGTTGTAAAGTTTTTCAAACCATTTATTTAAACAATAGGCATAACTTTTTCACGGCTCTTTAAGATTTCTCATATTTCGTAAGTATCTAAAATTGTAATTTTTAATGCATGGTATTATAGATCTAAAATAATCTTATTTGTCTGCTTTTTTTCTTTTTTCATTATTCTTTTCTATCATGTCTATTAAGAAAAATGCATTCAAATTGCACAAATAATGTGGTTCTTCAGTTATAATGATTTTCGAAATGAGGAAATTTATTTATTTTTTTATGTAGAATCTATAAGTTCAAATCAATACACAGCTTTTCTAAAATCTAATAAAATGGTAATAAAAAGATCAATATGGAACAAAATATATAACAATAATACAACATTTAAAACAAATACTCAATACAAATAATATTAAGAGGAACATATTTACAACGCAAAAAGATTGTGATAGAAAAAATAACTAATTCAATTGTAAACCTTGATTGTGAGTTTGGTGAATATAGTAAGTTCTCATTTTACTGAAACAATGAATATACAAAAATAAAAAAGTATTCTTTTGTGTGTTTTAAATTCATAAATGATACAACGATAATTGTTACCATTTTCACATATATTCCCGTTCCAGCCATGAGCGCACTCGCAACGAAAACCGCCAAGTAGATTGACACAGGTAGCACCGTTAAGACACGGTGAACTTTCACAGTAATTGGCGACTGGAAATTAAATATAAGTCTACAATTTTTCCCTTTATATTTCTTTCCATTACGTCGGAATTTTCCACGAATTGAAGAACATTGAAATTTATATAAATAACATATGCTTAACAAAGGGTAAGTATGAGTAAACAGGTAAAGGTCAAAAAAGCTTTACATAATTGAATTCATTTTTATATTATATCACACATGTATAAAAATATATGTGTGGCGCATACACATTTCTATAAATTGTCGAAAGGATACTCCCATTAATTATAAATCATATTTACATACATATGCATGTAGGTTCTTGCCCACTCCAGGAAAAATCACTCTGACATTGTCGAACTTCATCCCCGCTGGCTATACGGTAACCCTGATTACACGAGTACCTTGCTGATGCGCCTAACAGTGTTGATGCCAAAGACACAGTGCCATCTTTTATGTATCCAGGGTGACCACAGTCCTCTGCGTTGACAGGAAAAGCATACGAGTGTTATTTTGTTATCGTGCGTACATAAAAATATTGAATCTGATAGAATTTCAAAAGGTATTTGCTAAACCTGTCTAAATTTACTGGTATTTAGTGTTACAGATAAAATCCGTTCGTACAGACTGACGAGAATACTTAGATATTGTTTCGGCTTATTTGATAAGTTAGTAATAATAAAAAACTTACCAGTGCATGTTTTAAGATCTGGATTTCTCACAAAGCCTCCTCTACATGTACACGTGTATGAACCGTCGGTGTTTCTACACTCATGTTCACATCCATGTGATGGACCGGAACACTCATCAATATCTGCAATGTATAAAAGAACCCATCTAAATTTGAAACATTTCACAATGTTAACTTGAATTTACATTATTTTTTAATGATAAAAGACATGTGCGACAATGTTAATACACTGCAAATGAAGAACTGTATAAAATCTAAAATATGTTGTTTCTTGTGTTGGTTTTTTTTCACCATAGATATTTTCGATTGCATAAATTTACAGAATAAGGAGTAGACAATAATGCATCTATAGTTATAAGCACACGTATATATTGATGTCTTTACCAGCACATAGAGGCGGAGAAAAGCCGGTGGGACAGCTACACTCGTCAGGAGAAATACACGTGCCGCCGTTCGGACACGTTGTTGAGCCATCACAGAGAGCTGAAAATATGGGATATATGGTTGTAGCGATTCCAAAGACAATCAAGTACACATCTCTTAATGTAAGAAAAATCTTTTTAAGGTCATCGAAAGAATTGTGTCGATGCTTCAGCTTTGTACTGTTTGACTTTGTTAACATGCCCATTGCAACAGATTTTTCGGTCAATGCACACGATATATTGGTCCCTTTGAAAACTTTCCGGGAAGGTTCTGAGATTTTTGGAGTATGGAAAATTTTATCTATAAAAAATTATACTGGGGCATTATAAAGCAAAAATGTAAATACATTTTGTTATTTCTATATCTAACTTTTTCTAAACAGCGTAGATTTTATGTTTTACCTTAAATTTTATTCATTTTGTTAACCTTGCCCTTTTTTTAATTATTCTTTTATCCTGATTTTGGGAAAATAATTTTGTGTTAATTAACATGAATTCAAGTCAAAAATCTTCCATGATTTTACAAAGGGGGAAACACTTTACGATGTCGCAATGCTCCAAAATTTTTAAAAAGGAACAACAAAAACGTTTTTTTTTGCAATACTTGAACAGAAACTTTTTAAACCCGTCCTAATAATAATAAAAAACAATAATAATTTAAAAATAGGGAAAACAAAGATGACGATGACGATAATGATGATGATGACGATGATGATAATAATAATGACAATAAATTAAAAAAATGATAATAATAATGATAATGATGATAATAAAAAATATTATAACACAATAACAATGACAATAATAATGACGATAATAATAATAATAATAATAATAATAATAATAATAATAATAATAATAATAATAGTTTTTTATTTGTTTGTTTGGATTTTTCCGACACGTCAACACATAACTGGCCATATCGTGCCGAATGCTATAATAGGCTTAAAACTTGTAAATGACAGTAAAAAATGAGCCAATTAGATCCTACATGTCCCAGAATAAGAGTTTATCTCTTTCAAATAATCAATGATGTTTTTTATGGAATTGTATTAAAGAGTTCTTTGAGTGAATTTACACAATAAAATCTATTACGGGCCTTTGAAAAATCATGACATTCAAGAAGAAAATGCTTGACAGTAAAATTCACATTACAACCTACACAGAAAGGGCATTGTCATTTGTGAGGAGATAAGAGTGGGTAATTTTAGTGTGTCCAATTCGGCATCGAAAAAGAACTGTTTGATCACTGCGGTTTGACAGAGATAGAGATGGTGACACATCAAGAGATGGGTTTATATCGTGAAGTTTATTAAAAACGGCATTGTCCCAATTTGCTTTCCATTCAGATGATACGAGTTTATTTATAGCCGGTCTAAAATCACAAGCAGGTAACAATAAGTCAGTTTTTTGAAAATTTAATGAATGTTTAGCTAAAGCATCTACTTTTTCATTTCCTCGTAAAACTACATGACTTGGAATCCAATATAATTTAACAGATTTTGTTTCAGGTATATCATGAAATCGTAAAAGAAGTTTCTTTATCATGATATTGCCAGATTTTTTATTTTTAATGGCTATTAATACAGAAAGCGAGTCAGAAAATATAACAAATTTATCATGGGTATGCTGTACTATTTATGACAATGCTAAATCTATAGCTTTTGCTTCAGCAGTTAAAATTGATGGTAACCTCATACAAGATATATATTTTTCAAACACAGCCGCACCTACTTTGCAACCTTCTTTTGAACCGTCCGTATAAATATGTATAAAATCTTCATGTTCTTCCTTAACTGCTAGGAACTTCTCTTTGAAATGTTCATGTGAATTTGATGACTTTTAATATTTGAAAGGTTAATCTTTATTTTCGGGGAATTACAAGTCCAAGATGGAACATCCTCATCGTCATTTTGAAGGATATTGTTTGGATAAATTTTAAGTTTATCTGTATACATGTATATCATTTTTTAAACGAAGGCCTAATGGTTTAATTTCCTTTGGTTTGTTAACAAATTTTTCAGTATAACTTGGTTTGAAAATGATATTTTTAACTGGATTGTTGCTATTAGATGAAATTCTAGTTGCATATTGAAGTGATAGCTTTTTTCGACGAAGATGAAGCGATGGTTCACCAGCTTCCGCATATAGACTTTCTACAGGTGAGGTGCGAAAAGCACCTAAAGCTAAACGTAAACCCTGGTGATGTATGGTATCTAGATATGATTTTCTTGCAGACCCATATACTACAGAACCATAATCTTATTTTGGTCGGATAAGACTTCTGTATAATTTCAGTAATGTAGAAGAATTTGATCCCCAATTTGTACTTGATAAAACCTTTAGTAAATTTTAAGCTTTTATGCATTTAGTTTTCAAATGTTTAATATGTGGTATAAAAGAAAGTTTTTTTATCAAATATAATTCCTAAAAAGTTATCTTCATCAACTACTGGAATTTTAGAACCAGATATGTAAAGTTCAGGGTCATTATGGTATTTCCGGAATCGACAAAAATGAACACATTGAGTTTTTGACTTGGAAAATTTAAAACCATTTTCTATTGCCCACTTTTAAATTTTATCTAAATTTTGTTGAAGTTGCCTTTCAATTGTTCTCATACTATTTGATCGATAGCAGATAAGAAAATCGTCTACATATAGAGAACAATCTAAGCCTGGTGTAAGAGCGCTAGCAATATTGTTTGTTTTAAGGCCAAAAAAGTGTAACAGAAAGTATGCTTCCTCGAGGAACACCTTGTTCTTGTTGGTGGTCCTCAGAAAAGTTGAACCAAGTAATAATAATAATAGCAACAACAAAAATAACAGCAACAACAACAACGACGACGACGATGATGACGACGACGACGACGATGATGATGATGATAATAATGACAACGATGATTCCGTCGACGACGATGACGGTGGTGGACTTATAATGATGATGATGATGATGATAGTAAAAATGACGATAGTGATGATGATGATAATTCATGATACTTTCGATAAAAACACTCATTTAATAACAACAAAAGAAAACTATGACGCAGTAATGTATCGTGTAAAATAGGGTATAATTTCAAGATACATTTGCTAATCTAATTGTAAAGAGCGTAAAATAATTCAGTTTTTTAGTTACTGGCGCACTGTGCAACTGCTCCATCCGAAGAAACCGCAACTTCTGTAATATGTGTATGAAGTCGAGCAAGGGATTGAACAGTTATGTGTTGTCGGACAGTAAGAAGTGTACACGTCCCTGAAATATGCAACGTCATATGTGTAATGTATACGTAACTTGATATTATGAAAAATATACGACAAACATACAAAATGTGAAATATTATGCGAAAACTCGGCAAAGCCTCATCAAACGCAATTGATGTGGGAATGACGCGTTTTGTCTTACAAGGGGGTTCAAGACAGATTCTAGCATCGGCGCAAACAGATAGTCCTGTCTAATATGCAAAATTAATATGCAAAGTGTAAACATGAAATGCAAAATATAGAAAATTAAGAAATAATGAAAAATATGAGACATATTTTTGTAAAAAATCACAACACATTGACTCAATATGTTACACATTTGCCAAAGGTAACACACATACATCTAATGTGAAATTAATCACACATATGCATATCTATAAAGTATAAAAATATGCAAAATATAATGCATAAATCTATATAAAATTTACAAAGTATGTAAATAATACAAGACAACACATATGCAAAAGCCTGTATATCATTTATATGTAGAAATATAACCATATGATATTGATCTTCAGTATTTGCTTTTTCATTTCTCATTTCTTTGTTACACTCGTACGGTAACTTTTAGCTAATTAGCGGAAGTTAAATAAATAAGGATTCACCCCGCGACCCCGTCAAGCAAGATTTCAAGATTCAAGATTTTATTCAAAACCAAGGCATATAATATGCATAAGATTATGATATATCAACAATATAATGAACAGTTATTCAAAAGTGATTAACAAAACATAAATACATAAAATTATATAATAAGGAAATCAAATTGACTAACACATATCATTTGACTAGACTTTACTTTTTGGACATGATTTGTCTTATACAGAAGTAATCTAAATTATTTCTATTTAAATACATTCATAAAGTTGAGAAATCCGAAAAGTCGAGAATTAACAAGTTAAAATGACGGGGGCGCAGAGCAAAAATACGCTAATAAGCGAGGCGCGGGGCGAAGTTTGAGAAAAAACGTAGCTTAATTGGGCGCGGAGCGAGATTTAGGAAATAAAACGGCGGGGCGCGGAGCGAAAACACGCTAATTAGCGGGGGTGCAGGGCAAAGTTATCATACAGTTGCCCCTGTGTGTATAATTTTCTGGCACGGACACCTGAGTAGATCCACCGACCTTTGGAAAGCTAGTTGGATAGCCTTGTTCCAAAGTGACGAGAATCGAACGCTGAAGTTGAAGTCAATGACCTCTACCTCTCAGCCACGGAGGCCAAAAAAAATTGTTTTCCAGTAAGGAGCGATGCGATAGTTATATGTAAGTGCAGCTCTAAATGTGTGGTTTATGACTGCATACTTATAAATTTTTATGCGATTCATGAATACGAAGAAAGTAACATGTAATTTCATAATCAATTGTTTTTTAATTGCATGCATGTAGGCAACAAGATTTGAATTTAATTGGACAGTACTAACATGTTTTTATATAGGAAAAAATTCAAATGTGGACTTGATCAGAATGAAAATATTCATAAATAATATATTGTAACTTATAAATATAGCATGAAACATGATTATTGAATTCAATAAAAGGTTAGACAAATTCAAACGAAACATTTGTTTGCATATATTTGTACAAAATATCTTTTCGTGATATAATAGGCCTATTGTACATTCAAATATCAATTTCATGGCCATGAAAAGCGTATTTTACATCCTGATATCAAATTTAATAATAAACAACCGTATATTTATTGACAAATATACTCTTCAGACGATTTTTATTCGTGAAACGAAATTTTCAAAAGATTTATAATACTATATTTTTATATTTTGGTTTTCCAGTTCAGAATCTTTCCGAATGTTGGGATCTTTCCGAGCGTTTTTAAACGTCAAGATAAAGTTTAATACATTGTTACTATATATAATATCAAAATTGCCTATAATTTAAACTGATTACGAGTGTCATGTGACCATGTGTCATTATGGGTTTAATAATCC